TTCAGAATCCCCCAAATTGAGAGGGGCATCCCCCACTGTGAGGTACTTTCAAATATCACTTACCGCCTGGTTGCAAATGTACCGAGGTCCTCTCTTCTGTGACAGTCAAGAGGCAATTAGGAGGCAATCATGAATGCACTAGATGCCAGACATGGCCCAGCTGGCAGAAGACTTCAAAGCCACCCTCCGGCCAATATGGCCAGGCAGCTGCTAAGGCAGGCTTTTGATATCTCCCCACAGAACCATGCCAACACCATACAGATGAGCCCCCATAATTGTTATCAAAACTGCAAGGGGATTTCAGCCTAGATCCAGTTGCTTGTTGCACAAAGATCCAATTATTGAGACAACAAGGATTGTCAAGGAAGAAAGCATTTTTTTAATACAAGAGATGTCTTATTGGGAGAATAGGCGAAGTTGCCTCAAACCCATTTCTCTAATAGAGATCATGGGCTTTTTTAAGGAGGGGCCAGATGCCGCTGGGCAAGTCATGGTGTAACTAACAAGGGGCTACATGCACTGGGGACAGGTTGTAGAGGATTGTGTGTCTTGGCATCAGGAAGTTTGCCCTGAGGTCTTCAGAATCTCAACTCCTTTGTCTTGCACAAAATCCACTATTTCTGAGAAACAACTCAAAAGCTCAAGTAGTTAGCTAAAGGAGAGGATTATAAAAATATATATATAGGGGTCATTAAAATTTATCCGTGGAATCAGTTACATTTTCCCAGCTCTGATTCAATTGCTGTTGGGCTATTCTTACACTTGTAAGTTAGAGTAAGGGATGAATCAATATAGAAGTTTAAAGAAAGGAATTGGAGAAATAATTACTATTGATTTGTAACACTTCAGTTAGAGTTGAGGCAATAATTTCCCTTCTAAATTCCCATAAATGTAGGAAACCAGATTTAGATAGTAAAAACAGAAATATTTCTGCTTAAACCAGGGAAAGAAGAGGAGTGTATCTAATACAATTTATCATGGAAGAACCAGTCTACTTATTCTGACCAGGTTGAAATTGAGATGGGGCAATGATCTCTCTACAGGGAGTATCTGCCTATCTGTGGTGCTTAATGACTTTTAGTTTATAAGCAATCTCTTAATTTTATGTGTCAACTTGGCTAGGCTATGGTACCCAGATAGTTAGTCAAACATTATTCTATATGTGTATATATATGTATAGAATAATGTATACATACATTCTAAATATAGATAGAAAGTATATATACATTATTCTAAATATTTAGTCAAACATTATACACATTCTAAAGAATTTTCTAGATGAGATTCAAATTTAAATCAGCAGAATCTGAGTAAAGTAGATTATCCTCAATCATGTGTGTATGGCTCATCCAATCAGTTAAAGGCTTTAATAGAAAAAGACTGATTTCCCTTGAAGACGAAGGAATTCTGCCGGAAGACTGACTGCCTTCATACTTGAACTGCAGCACTGACCTCTCTGGATCTCCCGCCTGATGACCTACGTGCTGATTTTGAACTTGCCAGCCTCTGCACTCCTGTGTGTGAGCCAATTCTTTAAAATCACTCTCCCTCTCTTTCTGATATGATTGTAGATAGATGTAAAAAGATCCACTTATATATTTATCTGCCTACATTCTGTTGCTTCTGTTTCTCTTGAGAACTCTGACTAATTTAGTATCCTACATAAGCTTGGAAACTTCCCTCAAGAATGAATTCATAACCTGTCAGCACTGATCCTACTCCCATTCTACCTTTAGAGGAAGATCATTCTAATATCTTATTCTTCCTTGGAGAAAAATTATAGGCATTATCTGTACACAAGGAGAAAGGACAAATAATGCCAAGCATAAAATTGATTTTGATAGACATTAATTTTATAGCACAATATGTGATTTCTTTATATGAACTAATTTTAATATCTCTCAAAAATGAAAAGAGGAAATTAGAGGAGAAGGAAAGGAAAGAGAAGAAGCAGTAGAAGGAGAAGGAGGAGAAATGAAAATATTAAAATGAACTTTAAAACTTTAGATCTTTAAAAAAATATATAAAACAAAAAACAGCATCCGTCCAGGATGAATCAATAGGTCAGCCAAGCCTTCTTCTAGTAAAATGATATTCAGTTGTAAGAAAACCAACCACAAAGGGTTTTTTTTTTACTCTGTCTCTCTTTTTTTATAATTTATGATTCGTGCACAGTCTATTTCAAAGTCTCATTTATACTTTCTATAGTGAATCATCCCCATTTTTTAACTTCATAGTTTCTTAGTAATGATAATGAATCACTCTTTTAAAATATTTTAAGTACTTAATGTTCCTTAGCATTCAACATTCAATAAATTTGCTAATTGCTACTATTTATGAATATTGGTAAATATCTTGATAAGATAAAACATTTTCCACAGAATTGAGTATTTAAATGAGGTAAGGGAATGTACTGTCTGACTTCTGACATTCTTGGAAATATATTAAAAGCTGACAAAGGCTGGGCGCGGTGGCTCACACCTGTAATCCTAGCACCCTGGGAGGCTGAGGTGGGAGGACTGCTTGAGCTGAGGAGTTCAAGACCAGCCTGAGCAATAGTGAGACCCCGTCTCTACTAAAAATAGAAAAAAATTAGCTGGAGCCCAGGAGTTTGAGGTTGCCATGAGCTAGGCTGATGCCACGGTACTCTAGCCCAGGCAACAGAGTGAGATTCTGTCTCAAAAAACAAAAAAGTTGACAAGATCAAGAAGCAGAATAGCACAGTATATTTGAAGTCAAAAGGTCCAAGTCATAGTCCAAGCTCTAACTACCTGGGTCATTTTAGCCAAAGTTAGTTGTTATCTCTGAACCTCGGTCATCGTCTTATCTGTAATATCCAATATTATGGACATTAGAAAGATTATGTTTTTGTGAAGGTGCTTTTTACATACAGGGAGGGATTCATCTGGGTTGGTCTGATTTAGGGAGGTGTGGAATCGATAGATAGCAAAAATGCATAGTGGGAAGAGGTGAGAGAGTCAAGAGGACATTGTAAGGGCTAAGAAGAACCTGTGGCCTGCAGAACCAGGACGTCCAGGAAATATGCTTCTAAGGGAGTTCCAGCTCTTTTAGGAAGATTGCCTTGAGACACAGTTCTTGCTATCAAGAAACACACGTGTGGATAAAAATACCTATCTCTCTGAATTGTTGGAAGGATAATATACAAAAAGGACTTACCACAGCGTTTGGTATGTAGCAAGCCTTCATTAAATGACAGCTGTCACTATGTTTACCGTTACCGTTACCATTATAATTATTAAATGGGAGAAGGCAGTGAGGGAAATTAAAGCTCATAGAAAAGGGGGACTCTGGATTATTTCAATTATTCTTGAAAGGATTTTAAAACCCTTGGTTTTCTCTGGATAAGCAGAACATAGTTATAAACTAATGTAGCTTAGAGAATTCATCTGAAGTTTCTTAATTATGATGGAAGTGGAATAGGAAAGCCTCAAGATATGAGGCTTCTAGAGCAGTCTGGGGTGGGGGCTAATGATTCCCTCCATGTTCACCCAAGGTGGGAGGCCCAAGTATGTCATGTATGCACATGTCAACGAGTAGATGATTAGGTTAAAGCATCTAATCAGTATAAACCTATTCATTAATTTGTTTTAAGTGGAAGTACTAGGAAAGGAAACTAATAAGTCCCTCTATAGTACAGACCAGGTGTCCTCAAACTACTGCCCGCAGTCCACATGCGGTCCGCCGGGTGTGTCTTTGCCACCGCTGCCTGTCCTGCTTAGCAGCCGGCTCGTCCCTGGCCCACAGTGCGCATGTGTGGAATGTGCGCCGCACTCTCCAACGGCCCTCCAACCGTCTGAGGGACAGTGAACTGGCCCCCTGTTTAAAAAGTTTGAGGCCCTGAGGCACTGAGCTTAGCACTTTCCTCTGTTCACTTATTTAATACTTATACTAATCTTATAAAGTATGCATCCTTTCTCCCATTTTATATATGAGAAGACAGAGGTACAGAGAGCTTAAGGGACTTTTTCTAGCTGGGATTGAAACCCAGGGCAATCAAATCCTTGCATTTTCCTCCACACCATATAATTTTGATTGTGTAACCTCCTTTCTGTGCTTTTCCCTTCCTCAGTAGCATTATTTCTTAAGCATGCCTCTGTTTGGAAGCAAGTTTTATTCTATATGATGCTTTGCAGTAAAACTGTCCTCTTATGGACACTGACCTGCATTTTATGTAGTGGTTTCCTCCTGTTTTTTTTACTGTTTCTGAGTTACTGGCTATTTCTCAGAGTCTGATGAATATCAGTGATGGCAAATAATTAAGCCATCTGCATTTTTATGGCTGCAAAGCACTTGTGCCACCAAATAAAAGACATAAAGGGATATCCATTACACACTAATGGTAGAAGTGTCAAACCCCCCCAAAATCAAAATTTCTTGTTTTACTGAATGGCAGATACTTTTCTAAAAAATGTGCTCTTCCTTCACTGTTTTATTTATAAATGGATCATAACTCATATACCCATTAACATTAAATTATGCTTCCTGTTTACTAAACTGAACTACATTTTTTCTTCATTTAAAACAATGTATCTAAACCTAATCTGAAAATATCTGAAAACCTAATCTTAAAATATTTACTGTAGTGCTGATAATTTCTCTAACATGGTGTACTATAAAAATGCAACTAAGCAAGAAAAATAGGTTCTAGTTAAATTGGCAAGATTTATGTCTTTTTTTAAAAAGGAAGAAGAAAGTTAAATTTGGATTTTTATATTATTGTTTTTCATAAATGCTCATTTCAACATTACAAGAATTAGTTGGAAAGAAAGAATCCTTTAAGCATTCTGTCACTTCAAATATATTCATCTTTAATTAGAAATATTTCCAGTTAACTAAAATTAGGTCATGCCAAACTTTCCAAAATATTACACTTAAAATTTTGGTTGACTTTTGATATCTCTGTAGTGTCTCTATACAAAATGAAGAATAATCCTTATCAAACATTTCAGTAGTTTTTATTCAGAAAAAAATCCCCCACATTTACTATAGTTTCCAGTGCCCTCTACATGTTCATAAAATAATTACTGTTTGAGAGAAATGTTCGAAGAATGTATGAGTCGTTTTCCAGGCAATCACCCACTCTTTTCTCTGATGGTTAGGAGTATTAGCATTTCACAAGTAAAAGCATCACTTTTTTTGGTACAAAACTTGGATTTTGAACAATAAGGCTTAAAGAAGTAGCATATTGTTGGCAAAGAGTGAGATGCTAGAAACCATTCTGCTGCCTTTCCTTTAAGTGACTTCTCACCACTTTTGCTCACTGATGTTGTATATGTTATAGGTGTACGCCTTCAAAACTTTCCACTTGCGTGGAATTCCATCTGTTTAATCAAACCGAAAGAAAAGGTAGTGTCAAGGTCCTTGTACCTTAAAAGATTTCCTTCCTGATATATTATCTTGTTAACCCATTGCATCAGAAGAATAAATACCCTAGCTCAGCACACAGGAAATATTAAAAAAAGGGAAATAGAAAATATTAAGATAGGCCAGGCGCGGTGGCTCATGCCTGTAATCCTAGCATTCTGGGAAACCGAGGCGGGGGGATTGATCGAGGTCAGGAGTTCGAAACCACCCTGAACAAGAGGGAGACCCCGTCTCTACTATAAATATAAAGAAATTAATTGGCCAACTAATATATATAGAAAATATTAGCTGGGCATGGTGGCACACGCCTGTAGTCCCAGCTACTCGGGAGGCTGAGGCAGTAGGATCGCTTGAGCCCAGGAGTTTGAGGTCGCTATGAACTAGGTTGATGCCACGGCACTCACTCTAGCCCAGGCAACACACTGTCTCAAAAAAAAACCAAACAGGCTGGGCGCGGTGGCTCACGCCTGTAATCCTAGCTCTTGGGAGGCCGAGGCGGGCGGATTGCTCAAGGTCAGGAGTTCAAAACCAGCCTGAGTAAGAGCGAGACCCCGTCTCTACTATAAATAGAAAGAAATTAATTGGCCAACTGATATATATATAAAAAATTAGCCGGGCATGGTGGCTCATGCCTGTAGTCCCAGCTACTCAGGAGGCTGAGGCAGAAGGATTGCTTGAGCCCAGGAGTTTGAGGTTGCTGTGAGCTAGGCTGACGCCACGGCACTCACTCTAGCCTGGACAACAAAGTGAGACTCTGTCTCAAAAAAAAAAAAAAAAAAAAACCAAACAAAAAAAGAAAATATTAAGATAAATGCATGTATACATCACACATACACACATATGTGTGTTTATCACACACACATACAAGTACAATTATTTGAGAGAAATAGAAAGAATATAAATGGCAAATTACACGTTGCAATAACATAAGTAGGTTCAAAAGGCTACTGTGTAGCTATATAAGTTTTCTTTTACAAAAGATGTAAAATCAAATGAACTCATTCCCATCTTCCCCAGCCCCTATTGCTGATTGGGTAGAATCCCTATTGCTTAGCACAACACACAATGCCATTTACAACCTGGCTCAGCCTTTTTAGATTTGTCTCTGTCCCTTTGTCCTCACTCTATATTTCAGCCAAACCCAAGTATTCACTTTGTTCTGAATCCCTCACGCATTTTCCAGCCTCTCTGCAGTTGCACACGCTGCTCTCTGTTCAAAATCCCTGTCTGGCAAACACCTACCCATTCTTCAATGTATCTCCTCTTCCCTTAGCGTGGCTAGTCACCGTCACAATACTCTGCGTATCTTTCTGCCATAATACTCAGTGTACTGGATTGCAATTGTTTCTTTTCATTTCCTTATCCACTATGAACAGTGCATACCTTGATGGCTGGGACTATATCATATTCATCTCATATCCCCAGGACTGAGCATAGTGCCTGGCATAGAGGAGAGACTCAATAAATGTTGGTTGAATTAATAAATTAAACAAGAGGATTCAAGAGAGTCAATAAAGGAGAATGGAAAAAGAGTGGAGGTGGCTCAGCCTTTGGGCAAAGAGACATGAATTCACCATATTTTCATGAAACTACCCTGCATGGTACTTCATTGTTCCAGCAAAGGTCTTCACTCATTGGATAACAATAGGGGGAAGTTATGGCAGCTCAGGCCTCATGTCAGACCGAAGCATCCCTCCAAAGGAGATGTGGATTACATCAGCACATCTGGAGGCTTCCTACCCTCCCTTCTCCTACCTTAGTCTGTACTACCATCCCTTCTCATTTCTTTTCAAAAACAGGCTGCAGAAGAGGACCAGCACCTAGGTGATTTCAGTAGTTCTGGGCACTCTCCAATAAGCCATTGCGATGGACCTGAATGCAGGTATTCACAATGTTCAAAGCATTGTCACATAGTCCCATAGTCACATATATCATCTCATTTGACCTTATTTTGGGCCAAATTATATCAGATCATCAGATGTGGAAAAAAACTGTAACAACTTAAATAGTCTCAGGTAACACACCCTGATAAGCCCATCCTAGAACAAGGCCTTTTAACTCTATTTGCATTTTGTAACTAGAAGGGGTGAAGATAGGTGACAGTGTCCTTAGTATAACCAAACATTAATAAAAATATTTTGTAGTATTACAAGTAATATATAGTATACAAAATTATATCATTTAAAAAACTATAAAATGAAATACAACTATATTCTTCCCTACTCTAACCCCAAGATCCCCATTCCTACTCTACCCACGGCAACCGCCACGAAAAATTTCTTGGGTATCCTTTCAGAAATGTCCTCAATGTGTATGTGTGCATACACAAACATACATGTGTGTTATATAAAATATTATATAAGTGTATGTGACTAGAAATATGCATTATATGAATATACATTTATGTATAAATTATAAGACCACTAACATATAAACATAAAACATATAAAATCATACCTATTTATATATATATATACACAAATATATTAAATGTAATTATTCTATATAAAATCCTACTTAAACAAAAGCATTGTATGTGTATGTGTGTGCTAATATGTATGCATGTGTATATATGCATATATTAATATATATACACATACACATATATATAATATATAGCCAACCATGGACATAGACTGTACTGGATATTGAGGGGAGTGGTTGGTGGTAGAGGCTGGTGATTTTGCAAAAGGAAGAAATGGCTCTGTACAGACAGTAGCATTATTTCTGATTGTTCGGCAAAGTTAATGAAGTGGATCAGGTACCAGCTTTTTTGTTTGTAAAGAAAATAGCTGCTTACACAGTGCCAGATTCTCTGCTAGGCCCAGGCTGGTTTGGTCAGAGAATCTTCTTCCCTAAGAAGCTTGGTCTGTGGATCTCCTTATTTGACTCTCAGGGGTTGCTCTGTTGTAATAGCAACTGCCTGTGACCATTTGACCTCTAAGACTGACCTGCTGGCTCCTTTGAAACACATCCATTGGAGTGCTCAATAGCGTCCTCTAGGCTGATAACTGTTGGCTGGATGGCAAAGACAATGTTTCAATCATCTTTGCTGCCCCAGCACAGACCCCACACTCCAATGAGCATCTGAACAGATCTGAAGCTGCAACTGACACGTAACACGACCATCTCACCTGCAGGGTCGCCGTCGTGTAGAGGCTGATGTCCTTTCTTACGAAGTACGTGATCATCCTCTCTTGTAGACACCATTTGGAAGTATGGCCTTGATCTAGTGTCCTTTTTTACTCTCAAAGTACTTTTGAACTTTCAAACTGAGGCAAGCCGTTCAGTGATTTCTATTCTTGGCATCTGGGGTTATTTGGGATGGGGATAAGGGCAATTGTTTTATGTTCTAAAACACTCATGGAAAGTCTGAGGAATCTTTGCTCTGCTGGGGAAGAAATAGCCTAGAGTCTCCTAAGAAGCCTACAGTGAAAAAAGAGAATAAAACAATGGGATGATAACAACAACAACAACAAAAAACATTGAAAGATAAAAGACCAAGAACTTGAACTCTATAAATTTATGCACACACATTCGTTAATTAATTAGTTGTGAGACTTGAAAGCAGTATGGCTTGCCTGGAACACATGAGTGGTCTTAGATCTGTCATGGGGTCTTCAGGGAAGCCTGCTAACTCCTCCAGGCCTCAGCCTCCTCGCCTGTGGCACAGGTTACCTGGAGTCTAAGTAGAGACACACAGCTAGCATTGACGCTGATGAAGTTCCAGGTGTAAGAATTGTTATATTTGTCATATCTAGAAAGAGAGAGAGCAGAAGTTACAGGGATATGGATTTTGACCCCATTTAAGGAAGAACTAATACAAAGTTTTCCAAAAGTGGAATGGGGCACCTTGTAAGGTGATAAATTCTTTGGTACTGGAAATATCTGAACCATCCTGGATAGAAGAATGTATTAAATGGCTTCCAAGTTCTCTGACATCTCTTACAAATATGATTCTATGACTAGTTGTGTGGAAATGTCCTATATTTGTGCTGTACAAAATGATAGTCACTAGCCACGTGTGCCTATTGAATGGTTATATGACTAAGGAACTGAATTTTTAATTTAATTTAATTCTCATTAATTTAAATTTAAATAGCCACATGTGGCCAATGGCTTCCATATTGGACAATGGTGCTATACAATCTCTCCCAGCTCTAAAATTCTGAGGTCTTTTTTGTTTTGTTTTGTTTTTAGCTCTCATCATCATCTATCCCATACTCTGTCCTGTACATTGTGTATACAATTGTTCTATTTAGGATACAATCCTGCATTAGGGGAAATTAGCTTCTAAGAGAGAAACAGAACATTAAAAACATTGAATTGGAATAAGGAATAAGAATAGATAGCAAACAAACTATCGCCAAACTGGAAAGTGTACACAGCCAGAGAATCTGTCATAGAGCCACAGTAAAAATGTTGGTATTTCTAAGAAGCGTGAAGGTGAGGACACCAGTTCCTGTCCTTTCCCATTTTGGGGGTGAAAGGGGGGTAGCTCTGAGCTCAATGCTCCCCGCAACGTGCTGTTGTACTGAGTGGAGGATTATTCCCTTACCACTCGCTCCATGGTCTGCTAGTTTTCTCCTATACATTAAGAGTGATGGAGATTTCAGAATGATGTGATAAAGTAACTTCAAGCTGCATGTTACTTCATCAGAAAGAGGAAGTTGTCTGAATTTGAATTTACCACTGTAGAGCAGGAAGAGGCCTTGGAGATTATATAATCTAGTCCCCGTTTTTTTACAAAGAAGAAAACTGAAGCCTAAAGCCCAGAAAACACTTGTGACTTGTCAAAGTCATGTGGTTATGTAATAGTAGAATATTTCATTTGTGTAAATAAATTAATATGTAGTAAATAACAAATGGTTATTCACCTAAAATGTAATCTGTTTCTTAAAAACAAAAACAAAGTGCTTCTCAAGAGCTTATCAGAGTGGAAGGAGAGTCAAGGACGTCATCCAACAGCTTTCTCGGGAAACACGAGCGTTTCAAAGCTATCACATTTCTCAAGGGTGTGACAGAAACCTTTATTAGAAACCTGGTTTGAAGACTGGACTGAACTTCTGTTTGTGCTTACCTCAGATAAGACATTTTCTCCCAGTCTTGGTCCATTTTCTCCCCAGTCTTGGTCTAGAGAACAACTGTAATGTGCTCAAGGTCCACTCTGGGGCCATATTCTCTCCAAACAAGGTTCTGAATAGCAGTTACCAAGAAGAAATTCTTCCTCCTTATGGCTCATTGAAGATCCTTCTAAGTTCTCCTAGAGAATGGCAAAATCTAAACAAGTTTTATTTTCAATTTGTCTTCTTGAAAACCATACTTCACCCACATGAAACTAGTTAGCATGCTTCAAATGCTGAAGGCTTCTAGGTACTTTCTGAGTTTGCTCTGACTCATGTCTTACCTACATATTTATCCTTGACTTAAAAAGTAAAATAAAATAAAACAGAAAAATGAGAGCTCTCTTTCAACATACACTATGTGATTCTTTGCACTCCCTCATCTTTTCTTCATTACCACGTAAAGGTCTTTCTTTTTCCTTGAAATGGGTACAGAATTCAGGTAACTAACATATTTGGAAGAAGAATTTTTAATAGGAAATTTAAACTTTAGAAGTTCAGCAGTTTAAGAAAAGACACTGCCAAGTCAAATGCTATGATCTAATCAGATTTCTTTTCATAATGACTAGTAGATTTTCATGATGTCACTTGCCAATCCAAAAGTACACAACTGCTTTTCTACTGGGATTAAATATGACCTTGTAAGCCTGGTAGCCTAACATTAACTTTTTCTTCCCCTCCACCTAGCAAACCACGTCTTTAATTCACTCTCCACTCTCACCCCAATACATTCTGTTTCTCAGCCAGGCTTTCCTCCCCACCATGGTCCCTTCCCCATAGTCTTCTTTTTTTTTTTTTTTTTGAGACAGAGTCTCACTTTGTTGCCCAGGCTAGAGTGAGTGCCATGGCGTCAGCCTAGCTCACAGCAACCTCAAACTCCTGGCTCAAGCAATCCTCCTGCCTCAGCCTCCCAAGTAGCTGGGACTACAGGCATGCACCACCATGCCCGGCTAATTTTTTGTATATATATTAGTTGGCCAATTAATTTCTTTCTATTTATAGTAGAGACGGGGTCTCGCTCTTGCTCAGGCTGGTTTTGAACTCCTGACCTCGAGCAATCCGCCCGCCTCGGCCTCCCAGAGAGCTAGGATTACAGGCGTGAGCCACCGCGCCCATAGTCTTCTTGTGCGTGGTCCTCTTCACAACTTCCTTGCACAACATTCCATACCTCATTCCCACTGTTCAGGACAATCACCTCCTCCAAAAAATGGCTTAAAGCTGTTTCTCTTTTAGAAATCATCCCCATCTAAGTCCATCTAAGACTTGTGTTCTGTGACTTGTCTATTTTGAGAGTCACTTCATATTTTATTTTGTTTTGTTTTTGCATTAAGTCCATGTAAAAAGCTTTAGATCTGGGAGACGGGGTTGGGGGAGACTTCACTAACACCCTGTCATTCTTCAGATGAGGAAACGGGGGTTCAAATTGTCTGAGTGATTTGGCCAAGATCACACAGGATTAGAAGCCAATACCATGCTATTTTCACCGCACCACATTGCCTCTTAGTTTCATATGTGTCATACTAAAAACTGAGAAAAATAGAAATAGTATTATAATATACATAAAGAAAAATGCATAGCTGCATTAGTGTCCTGCCTATGTTTCTATTACTAAAAACTGTGACTACTACCATTTTTGACCACTTATCATGGTCAAAGGAGAATGAGCTGAGCTAATTGCTTTTTAAGCATTCATGAATTGGTGTCTATGCCAGAGACTGTTAGACCATGTTCCCCAGCCTTCCCACAGTTAGATAAAATCACAACACTGAATTCTGGCCACTGGAATAGGTATATAAGAATGTATATAGTTTTCTGGGTTGGCCAATAAAAACCTCCTTTGCAAACCTTGATAGCCTCTCCTCCTGCTCTGCTGGATGGATGTGGGGCTCCAGAGTGACCTTGGAATCCCAAGTTGAAGATGGTAGGATCATAAGATGAAATGAGCTTGGTCCCAAGTCACCATTTGGAGGAGAGCTGTCTGGTGATCAGGAGGACTAACTTGGAACTACGATGTGAGCAAAAAATAAACTACTACTGTGTTAAGCAACTGGGATTTTGGCTAGCATTTACTTGAAGTAATACACATTCTTTACTTAATTCTTATACCACCCTTGTGAAATATATATTACACCATTTTACAAAGGGAAAACCAAGAAGGAAAGTGGTCACACTTCTTGCATGAGGCACAGACAAAATTTGAACCCAGGTCTGTCTGATTCCACATGCTTGCTTCTCTCTCTTTTTCTTTCTTTTTAGATATGTCTGACTCCACATTCTTTCCCTCCCTTTCTCTCTACCTCTCCCTTCTTTCTTGAACACTGAGGTTCTTCTTGTGATGAACTTCAGTTTAAGGACTTTCATGGACATGAACCATTTTATGCACCTACGCAGACATGCATCAACTCTGCCCAGCACCAACAGATGGCAGTAGCGGCTATCTGTAGACTATCGCTTTGAATTTATGAACAAATGGATTTAGGAATACCATGAAATAAAACATAACCTGTACGTGCATAGAGGAGTTTCTGAATGCTTTGCTGCCTTTCCTCTGGTAAGAGTCCTCATTGAGAGTCTTCTTGAGACTTCCTGAGAGTCCTCATTGCCAAGTTATCAAACTCCTGGGCCTTCTATAGTCCTCTCATCTGAAAATGAGGAAATTGGCCTAGAATCATGAAATAATCAGTATGTTTCCTTCAGATTCTGACATTACATTGTGCACATATGAGGAAACATTAAGAGCTGGACCCCTGTAAAAACAGGCAAGCTTCCAGTTGATGCTGGGCTGTCCCTTCTCCCTAGTGGAGACAGGGTAGGCAGGATAGGACACTGTAAGTTATGTTCCCTGTTGAATGTACTCTTGACAACAGGTAAACCAGGCTATGCTAATGCCAAATTTGAACTGTGTTTATTTATTTTGCTTCTCTATATTTAAAAATTTTCCTTCAATGAATGCATGTAATTGTATAATTAAAATAATATTGAGAAAAAGAAATCACACACAAGGACACTCAAAACCAAGCAAGCAATGTGAAGGGCATATTATAAAGAATGGCAGTAGAGCAGAAAAGTTGATGAAATGGGCTTTGGATCATGACAGTCCTGGGCCCAAGCCTCTACTCGCTTACAGCATGGCCTTAGGTAAGCTTCCCAGGCTTCCTTAGACTCAGTTTCCCCATCGATACCATAGGGCTTTGTGAAGATTAGACCCAACATGAGCCAGAGGACCTGGGGATGAGATGTTGAGGGGGTGAGGGTGCTGTATGTGGGATTACATTAAAATGGGTTCCATTGACAATAAA